CTCAGGTTGGAATTCGTTTCTTTTTTTCTATTTGCAGCTGTTGATGGTATGAGGTGTTGTAACGGTATTATTTATGATAAAAATACTTGTTTCTTGGAAAGTGCTTTCTTAAGCTTTTAAACCAGATATGGTTTTCTAATAGTTACAGGTTTTCAAATTTTGGAAAATGATTAAAACAAGGTTTCAGGATCTGTTGAAGTATTGCAGCGATTGCAAGCTCATTCTTCTTCAGTATACTGTGTTTATGCAATGAATTCATGCCTTATTTCCGTTGGAGGAAAATCTGAAATTTTCATTTGGCATCTAGAAGCAGGTATATTTCAGTTTATCATTCATCTGCTTAATTTTCGTTTAATAGGTGCGATATTTTCCAGGGAATCTGCAGCAGTTATTTAACACTCGCATGCAAGGAAATTGTAGATTGCTAAGTGTTCGGTTTATATCAGTCAGTCCTCACATTCGATTCCTGATTTCATGCTCGGATGGAAGACTAATGTAAGTAAAATTGTAAGTCACATCAATCGGATATAGGTTGACTGATGCGGTGCTTAGAATCAATTTTCTGCAGCGTAAAAGAATTTCATGAACTTTACGATCGTTTAGAATCATTTCCTGCAGCGCAGTGGAGGAATTTCATAAGTTTTTCCTTTTTAAGGATTTACGAATTAAGCAGGACTTTGGATGCAAAAAAACCCTCAGTTTTGTTTGAATCGATTAATGGTGATGGAATTATGGTTAAAGTTTCTTGCGTTTCGTTAAATGATAGCTTTGTGTGCGGTGCTGTCTCATCTGCAGGAATACTACACATCTGGAATTTTTCGGAATTAGTTGATATAAAAGATCATAAAAGAATCGAAGTGGAAAAATGTGGACTAAGCGCATTGAGTATGTACAACGAAAATGGTGAAGTTTTTTTAATTCAAATTCAAGATTTTAGAAGTTTTGAATTTTTGTAAGTGAAGTCAAAACTTCCATTACTTTTACGTTTCTGGTTTATTAAATATCAACAATTACTTCGTTTATATTTTAGAACTCTTGTATGTTGGTGTGGGCTCTGAATCTGGCACTATCAGCATATTTCAAGTAAAAAAAAATTGGGAGTTCGTGAAAAGTGTTAACCGTTGGCATGGTGCCACATGTACAGGTGGGTTTGTTTCACTTTTTTACCAGTGAAGCCTGAATAACTTATGGAAGTGCTTGAGGGGTTGGGCTCACATAGGATTTTAAAAGCGAGACGTTTTTGTTTACGCTTTTTATTATTTTGAAATTTCATTTTTTTTTTCGTCTCGGTTTGAAATAACCGTTGCAGATTTGCATCTTCATCGAACTGCTCAATCACTTTTGGTATTTTCAGTAGCATTAGACTGCAGATTAGCAGTATTCCTTTATTCTCCTACTTTTCATACGGTAAGTTATTGTCAGTTCTCTGGTACTGAACATTTTTATCCATCATGTATGATCTGTTTGTTTAGATAAAATTTGTAGTTTTTCTCGGTGAAATGAAATAATAAATAGGGCATCAAATTACGAATGGATCCCGTGTTTCCAGATAATGGTTGCCATAAACATGGTTTTTGTCAATTTTCTGATCTACTTTTTGGTTTAAGAAAATGGAAGTGAAAATTAAGTCCCTTCCACTCTCCTAAGTTGGTTCAAAATAAATGGCTGTTTTAAACATGATATTTCAAACATTATAGCTTAAACAAAATCTTTAACGCACAAAAAAAATTACGTAATTATTTCAGCATTTGGCAATGAAATTATATGATAACAGTTAGAATTAGAAATGTCCTTGATCTAAGCTAATTTTGTTGGGAGCTGTTAATTGTGGATTTTTCCGCCACTTTTGAATCGAAATAACCCTTCTTTTTCTTTTTCTTTTTTTTTTCTTTTTTTCTTTTTTTTTTTTTGCAAATGTTTGGTGTTTGCAGTTTTCGACAGTCTCACAGTAATGCTATGAGGCAGCACTTTGTGTCACTTCAACATGAATGCTTGCTTTGTTTAAGAAAGTTACCAGTAGGTCTATTAGTTTCAAGAAAGACGTATTTCAGATCGACATCGAGAAGTCATTAGCAGCAACCAAATAGTTTTAAAAAATTTAATGGATCAGTATATCTTAGCGTGACAGTTCCCAACAGTTTTGCATTCCTACTTCTCCTGTTACCAGTTTACTAGAAATATATGTTGACCATTGAATGGTCAGCCTTTCAACGTTCGAGTTCACAACCTTAATTCATAAATGTACAAGCGCATGGTTTCAGGATTTACTGTTATCCCAAAGCACTATTAGCTTAACTTAGAACTTGGAAGATACCATAAGTTTGATATTATGAAACATAGTTATATGGGAATTATTTATCCTAGCTGATCGATAATCCATCAAAAACAATAAATGAAAATTGAGGGATTTACGAAGGACGTGCAAGATAGGTAGAAACGAGGGATTGCTAATTGAAAGACTTAATCGAACGGAAGCAGCCATTTATTTTGAGTTAACAAAATACCATTTGAAGTTTTGTCTTCGTGCGCGAATACTTTATCAGATATTTCGAATTCATTTAGTGATGGAAAATGGAACAAATTATGTTCTTCGCTGATTAATACTGTTACTTTCTTCTTTCTTTCTCTTTGTTTCAGTTGAGCTTCCAGCAGTCTGTGTTATTAAACATTGCCGATCCCTCATCGTTAATCGTCTCGACTGTTAATAATAATATGGCGAAGTGTGTCATAGCTGGCACATCAATCTGTCTTGCTTACTTCAACGAATCTCCTCCGCACTTTTGTGATACTGAGGACTGAGATATCAACTGAGATATCAACTGAGATGAACGTTTAATCGATTTCCAATGACATTTTTTGTTATTTTCAAATTCATATTCATGAAGAATGAGAGATTATGGGTGTCACGCGTTCACGTCTTTCATGTGTTAAGGAGGAAGCTAACGTGTCTTTGCTACAAGTAAGCGGTTGAAGGAAAAGACGGCGAGAAGGCGATTACTGAACTGTTTTCTTTTTGTATCATCCTGTTGGCAACTTCCAGATCATCACCAGCGTTGTTCCCTTGCATAGCCAAATTCCTATAAGTGATTTTGAGTGTCTTTACTTACAAAGTTGTTATGCAAAGTCGAAAATCGAACTTTGCTCATATAACTATTGTGTTCATTGTCCATATAACTATTCCTATGATAAACATTCCATGTGAAATGAACACTTTGCTAATAATTACTTATTCTTGAGAAGTAATTCGTTGGTATTTCTCATCTAGTTTCTTGAGAAGTATCATTCCCATTTCCCTGGTGACATCTTGCACTTTTTGTTGCTATTCCCCAGTTATTCAGCGTGAAATTGTATTTTTTAAAGTTTATAAACAGTGGCAGTGTAATATCATATATATATATAACATTGGGAAAGGATTAATGAAGAGATTTGAACCGGAAAATACTGATATAACTCAAATTTATGTTTCAATGTTTCCTAACGCTTTTCACATAATTTGTGAGAATACACTTCATAGGGCCAGATTTTAATTTTAGTAGTGTTTTTTTGTCCGAACTCGTTCATTAATTAAAAAATCGACAAAAATTTGCATTAATAGGGAAAAAAATGACAAAAATTAAAATAATCGACTGTTTCCATCTCAATAACTTCCTTCTCTTTTGATTTGTTTATGTTAGAAGGAATTCATCCCTACTAAGTAACACCGACACAACGAATATTCATGAATTATGCAAGCTGAATTTTAATGAGAAATTAATAACGATAAATGGTAAATGGCAAATGGTTTCTTAAATCTTTTCATCTTTGCTGTTATTGCATTTATCCCATGTTACGATGATTGTTTTCGACTGGATTCATTATCATTTCAGCTTTCAAGGAAATAATTAACACTTTAAATAAATTCATGTCGCAAACTTGTGTTAACAGTGGCTGTTGAAGCTGTTGAAGAGTTGTCTTTTTTCGTTGATTGAAGTGAGTTCGAAATTAGGTTTTCTGTTTTTCTTCTTCATTTGAATTCTTTTCTTAATTTTTTTAATCTAAAATGACTTGTTTATTCAATTAAGTTACTTGTTTAGTCAAAAAAAGTCAACTTTCTTTTGATTTCATTCGTTTAATATCTTCTCTCTAAGAGTTTTATTATGACACGGAAAAATAGTAATTGTGTAGTTTAGAGTGCAGCGAGATTCTTAAAACCTCGGCAGGTCCAGAGGAAAAGTTTCCCTGTTAGCTTGTTAAGGTCAGAAGACGGAGAGGTTACCAAAATTAACCTTCCTGATGAAACAATCTAACTGCTTGCAATATGGTTTTTTTAATTCTCCCATTTTTTCTATTGGAGATAAAGTTACTCTCCAACTTTGTTACTTTGAAAAAGTAACTGTAAAATCAAAGAAACGTTGCATAAATTTCTCACCTATGTTTTTGGTTGAATCAAGTCCCTCTGAATTTGGTATAAGTATTTATCTGAGCCTAAATCCAGTTGCGTGTTTATTATTCAAATTCTTTGGTCAACAATAAACCTGGTTTCCCCTTGCAACAGATATGCTTAATAGCAAGAAATTCGTCTACGAAACTATGAAAAATAAATGAAAATATGCTAAGGATTTATTGATGTGAAATATAAAGCCCTATTAACAAACCTTTTAAAAGAGCCTTGTTCTTACTTTCATCAGTTTCGCATCCTTTGGTTTTTTTGTGGATAGATTTTGAAGGATGAAAAGACATGACTCTTTCACTTTTCTTTTCTTTTCTCGAAGTTTTTACCTTAGAGTCTTATGAACCAACCGTTTTTGTTCTCGGATTATGTAGTTATTCTTGCTTGTCATGGAGCGTTACTCATCTGAGCAGAAATTAATTTGATGGGAAATTGTTCCTTTCGAAATTTTAAATAATTTTATTGGTTTTCATCTTCGAATATTTGCTGACTTTGATTCTTAGAATTTGGTCTGTTACGAACCTGAACTAACAACCTTCACAATTATTTCAGTCGAGAACAATATAACCTAAGGTAGTGATAAATTGAACTGGATGTAAATAAAGGTATAGTGACAACGAAAAGCTTCTTTCATGTATAAATGGAACACCTCCGTCATAATTATATATATATATATATATATATATATATGTAATTGTTATATATCGTATTAATTTTAGAGTATATATATATATATATATGTAATTGTTATATATCGTATTAATTTTAGAGCCATGAGATTGTTATATAGATATATAACAATCTCATGGCTCTAAAATTTATGCTAAATTAATACGACTGTTATTCTAAATTTGCGCATAATCTATAAAAGAAATCAAGATATTTATAATGAAGTAAAGCTTAAATGACATAAATACCAAATAAATAATTAAGTAATTCCGATGTTTTCTCGCTAGCATGCAAAGATATGATCTATCTGTCATTGAAGAGAATGATCTGGAGACATGCTTGTTTATCAAATAAGTAAAGGAAATAATTTTTAGTGACTGATTCAAAATTATATCGGCACTTAGATACATTGCTATCATCAGTCTACTTTGCTCCTATCATTGCTGCGAATATGGTTAGCTTCGTCCTCTATATATTTTGTTATTATGATGAAATAAATCAATTCAGTCAAGTTGTTATTGAATTACTTTTCTCTTGTCTACTTCTTTATTATCATTTTCTTTTCTTATCTACGTTCTTTTTTTTTCATTTTTGTAATTTGCACCAAATTTAATTTTGAGTTTCACCGTAATAATCAGTAAGTAATTACATGAAGCAATTAAAGATCTGATAGTCTCTTGAGATGTTAGACCAAGTCTGGCATGGAGTGTATTAGTGCACTGGTTTCTTGACAGTTTATGTTATTTCACATTTTAGATCGGTTGGTTCCATGAATGTTTTCGTCGAATGATTTTTGAACAATACGGCGGAGATGTATGGTTGAAGATTTTGTAAGTTTTTAATGTCGCTTTTACTAGGGGTTAATAATCCTTGTCAAATTCTTTTCTCAGTAAGCTAAATATCACTGTCATTCTATATTCCTACTTCGTTTAACATAATTTATTGGAGTTACCTCATCTAATTACTCGGCCACTTTTATTCATTATTTTATTCTATTTCGATTCAGAATCTCATTCAAATTCCTTCAAATTACTGGAAGTAGTCTTGTTTGAAAGCACAATTTTTTCTTTTCAACTGGCTTCTAAAGGTCACGGGTTAAAAAAAGGAAAAAAAGCTCTGGCAGAGCTGATGCATGCCAATTTAAAAGGTATTTTTCCATCCAAGATCAATAGTTGTGTTTGAAATATCTTTGAGCTTCTGTATCGCCATCAATCTTTGGTATTGATTCCCACGTTATGGAAATGACTTCGGCATCTAATTAAAGAAATTGGTTTGAAAAGTTATAACTCATTAAGAGATAAAATAATCAACGTCTACTATTCCTAGGTTAATATGTTTCAAAATCTGAATATTTCTGAGTCAAAAGGAACTTGTTTTTCTCGAAAGTGTGATCAAAAGTAATAATTCATGGATCAACAACTGAATGGAAAGGTAAATAGAGGGAATATTTTGGGGAGGCCAGAACGAATACGGTTAGCTTACTCCAAAGATTGGATATCTTTTAAAGTTGCGTGCGAGAAAAATTTATTGGATCGCGTGCCAATATTATTTGTTAGAAAATTTTTTGACAACAATTAAAAATGAATCTTTCGATTTTCTTAGGTTTTTTCAATATTTTTCTTACATGAATTTGTGGTTATTATTTTCTTATCGAGATTTTTAATAATTAATGATGAGGCAGACTGTTGTCGTTCAAAGTTACCTGAAAGCAATCATGTAACATTGCTTTTATCTCCATCTTGCAATTGTCATTTCACAATATTTGAGAATTTACATTGTGATTTTCAGAATGCACTGGATTTTACTGAGGAACATAACAATTTCTTAGTTTCATTATTCTAGAAAATCCAAATTCCAAAATCATTTGTATTATTCCAAGAATTTTGGATGCATTTTTGTAATCCAATTTAAACCTTTGTTTTGTTCTCTCTTTCTGCATTTTGGAAAAAGCAAATGAGGAATCATTTTTAGCAGAAAGAAATTTTTTAATAACTATTTGAAGGATAAGAAATATAAATCTATCATAATAATTTCGAAATGAAATTTTCTACCGACTAAGTAAAGCTAAAGAATGAAATTTTACAAGGTTAGAAGCCAAGTTGCTTTCATTAATAGTGAGTACTTTCTTTATTCTTCATTGTGTACATCTATTATAATTGATCAATTGCAGAAATTCTTGTCATCTGAAAGAAGGCGAAGAATGTATGTTGACATGTTATTATGACGACGAAGTAACAATGGAATTAACTCGTGCTATTTCCCATGTTTTAAGTATGTATTTTCAAGTTTCCAGATATTTTCGAGCGAATTAAACAGAAAAGGACCTTTTCTCATGATTTGAGATCAGGAGACTTGATTTAAATGAGTTTTACTTCAGTCTACAGAAATAAAACCCTCGATTTTGTTCTACAAGAAATTCTCTGAGCCACCGTTCAATTCTGGATGATTTAAATTGTCATTAAAAGGCTCAATGTCCATGCAGCACTTTTTTCCAATTTTTGAAAATAATTTAGATCTTTCGTTGGATGCGGTTTGGGAAGCTTTTGGCGCATATTTTGTACACTTTGTTATGAAGATTGGATGGGATGAACTTTTGCAAGCACTTGCCTACGATCTCAAAGTATTCTTTTTCAAAACTTAATTTATCTCCAGCTGTGAAATTTTCCCTCGAAAAAAAGGAAAAATGATAGGTTTGTAGATTCTAAGTAAAATTAGGTCTCAAAAAAACTTCAAATGTTTCATGCAATTGATTTCTAGAAAGGATTCCAAAAAACTGAGTTCAATTTACTTGAGAAATCCTCATTGGTCTAACTGCTTGAAATCAAATTTCAATACTCTATTCTCGGATTGCTCATTTAGTGAATTAACTTCCTGTAAAATTATTTAGTAATTCATTTACTTGAAGGGTTTCCTGAATAGTTTGGACAGAGTGTATTATTTTGCTGACCAGTTCGCCTTCTCGATGAAATTACGTGGTCCATTATTTCGCTGTGAATGTAATAGTGATGGTAGTCTGCTGTTGCACTATTATTCATCACGTACAGGATTTCCGGGAATTGTCAAAGGTGTCACCAAATTATTATACGTTTCAACCGTAATTTATAATTTTAACTTATTCTCATTAATGAGCACTGAATTGAGTTTGTTTTTATTTATTTAAAAGATATTATGTGCTGACTAGTAAACGCTATTTAAACGTAGTTCACGTTCTTTCATCTTTCAACAAAATATTCTCCTCTACATTCCACAGCATCCAAAATTCCTTTTCACTCTTCCCTTCCTTTGTATTTAGACACTTTGCAAAGATGTGTCATTATAAAAGTACTCACTAATGATATGATAAAATTAACAGTGAAGTTTTAAGAGTTTAAAAAGTTTAGAATTGTGGAAGAAAAAAAAACAATGTTAGTGATTTCTGTATGATTTCAGTCGAGAGATTTTTGCGAGCAAAGATCTTTCTATATTTTCAGGTATTGTTCATGAAGTATCAAAGCGAATATTTGGGATTGAAGTTGGAATAACTATTGAAAGCCGTCTTCGAGAGCATTTTAGTTCAACCATCAAAGAACACATCATGTTTACAATTACTGGGGTTTTCTCAATAGTTTCCTATTACTTTTTCCTACTGAAATGAACTGTTAGAAATCCAAAATGATTTTTGTAAATTGCGGTGCAAGGAGTATTTTGCTAGGATAACTGAAATTAATTTCAGAAGGGTGAAGATAAGCGCAGTTTGAGTGTTGTGAATCCTTCGCTAACCAATTTTTTGCAAGACACAAAGTCAAATGTGAATTTTGCTATAATTTTAATAAAATATAAAATTTCAGTCAAGTAGCAAGCAAGGGTTATTCTTTGTTTCTTCAACTGATAATCAATCACCAATGATTTTTTCCAGAAATATGCGAAATACTTATTTTCATGTATTCTATCCATTCAATTGAAGTTCGCCTGCAAATTCTTAAACTGATATAATGATTCTTTCTTTGATAAATATTAACAAGCGAAATTTGCTTATTAATTATAATCTAATATCTATTGAAATATTAAAACGAAGTCACACTTTACATATAGTCGAATTTCAACAGTGAAAAAACCTGATTGATGATGACGTTTCATTCAAGATGTCATCAAGTTACTTTGTGCATTACGGCATTCTGTGTAACTTGTAGCTTTCATCTTCTAAAATGACAATATCCATATGTGATTTTAGAAGATGGAAGTTGCAAGTTTTTACGGAGACGTGTATTTCACGTATGTTCATTCAATCAACAATATAATATTAAGACAAAATGAAATTTAAGGAGCAGTGTGGTTTATCGCTAAACGAATTTGCGATTATTTTTCCATATCACATTTGTTTTAGTAAAGAATTCCAAATATTGCACCATGGTAAATTCTTCGAGTATTTCCTATTCTAATGGTTGTTTGGTAAATGATAAGTAAAAGTTATGTTTATTTTGAATTATTAGGGGATAACTTCTTAAATAAAAGTATCTGGTGGATTGAAAATCCAAAATAATCTTAATTATCATGATTCCACTTTTTGTTTCCAGGTGTTTTTATCAAAAAGTATGTACCATCGGTGAGATGCGGTATAACTTTGCTGACTGATATTGTACAGCTTATCTATCCTAACGTAAGTAAAATTTCAGAAAACAGTAATCCTGAAATACTTTAATTATTTAAGAAGTAGGATTATTCATTACAGTAATTGAGCCTGTATTTCAGACACCATTTACTTATGAATCTTTGCTGGCTTTTCTAAACAATATATTCGTATTAACATTAAATGATACCATTGACAGTGAAATTGGTTCACAACCGATCGTGTTAAAAGGTTGCTTCATTTCGAAAATGCATGACTTGTTTCTGGTATTTTGGTAATAAATACATTATTGATCGTTGGAAAAATTATTGCTAATAGAATTAAACGATAAAATTTGATTAGATAGATTAAGAGTTAAACAGAATAATCTATTACTAGGATCGATGACATTACTGTCAAATGGAAACTTTATTTATATGTGCTCGCTAGACGTATCCAACATCACCCATCTTAATCAACGAAAATTATACATTAGCGACATGCAACTGCATGATGCAATTCGAAATATTGTCATGGTTAATCAATTAAGGCTCTGCCAAATTAAACACACGTCTGTTAATTTTGATCTTTTGCATGTTGAAAACTATCGTAACGGATAGCAAATTTGGTAACTCTTTAGCTGCTATGGATGATTCTATGCAACTATCTTATCAGAAAGCAACGATAAGTTTATAATATTCTTTGATTTACATACGTTAACAGTCACACTAACTTCAATTTCAAACCGAATGATAATGGAACATTTAACTCAGTTCAGAGAATGATTATTTTTTGATTAGCAGTGCAGTATGCTGTCTAATTCGTATTATATGCTTTCGTTTAAGATTCGAAATCGTTGTAAGCGATGATATAATGTTGAAATATTTTGGAAAATCTAGAAAATTGGTGATTAGAAAACTATAAAATTTTGAGATTGCGTTTGTTAACTCTGCAGCTGCTCACTATCACTTCTGCTTGAAATTAGTAGTAGTTTTAAAGTTCGAAGTTTAAAACGGAAATAAAAGTTGAAATGATGATATTACAGTAGTGTATTAGTTTAAAACGTGCCACTGCATGGAGAAATGCCTAAACATTGATATACTTCAAAAAATTCTCATTGATGCTCTATTTGTTTACTAAGCTAAGTGTTTTGTAGTGAAAAGTTGGAAGAACAAAAAAGCAGTCTGAAAAAACTAACCGAAAAAGCTACTATTGAGAAATATCGATCAGAAAAGCTCCTCTATGAATTATTGCCTCCATTTGTTGCTAAAATTCTTCGCAGGGGTGAAACGGTTCAAGCACGTAAAAATTAATTATATTTAATTTCGTATTTGACAGTCTTCTTCTGATGATTGCAAACTAGCATGAAAGAAAACGAGATCTTTTAGATAAAGGAACTGAAAGACGGCACACTGTTCAGTGTTTGGAAATTTTCAGATGAATATACAGAAGCAACAGTTCTCTTTTCCGACATTGTAAAATTCACAAAAATTTGCGCTGCATGTGCACCTTATGATGTTTTCAATATGTTAAATGAACTATACACCAAATTTGATCGTATTGCTAAAATTGTGAGTATCTTTTACGTTTTCTTTTCTGAATCTTAACTATGTAGTCTGTTCATTTATTTGCAAACTTGGACATTAGACATGAAAATAATTTAGAAATTTGTAACTTTCTGATTGCTTTTTAAAAGATTTGAGTTGCAATTTTGTGGCTTACAGCAGACCTTCAGAAACTTTTGAACTTGTCGCACTTTTAAGGTCAAGATTTTGCAATGTATGAAGCGTCTGAATGCTTTGCCTGTCATTGTTGAATTCATAAGATTCCATTATTTTAATCTTCTAGAACGACGTTTATAAGGTTGAAACTATTGGTGATGCTTACGTGGTCGCTAGTGGTGTTCCCACTCAATGCGCCGATCATTCGGAACGTATTTTAAATATGGCAATTGGTATGCAAATAGAAGTAAAGTCAGTGAAGCGTCCAGGAACTGATATACCACTTGAGATCCGTGTGGGTGTTCACACTGGACCGGTTTTTGCTGGAGTGGTTGGATTCAAAATGCCTCGGTTGGTGATTCAAAAACGTAGTAACTTTCTATTTAATTTACTTCACATCAAGTAAAGCAATGGCAAAGTATTGAATGCGAACACTATTTTGCATTTTCAGGTATTGCTTGTTTGGGAGAACAGTTTCAGTAGCCCGTAAACTAGAATCGAATGGTATGCCGCGAAGAATTCATGTCAGCGAAACGGCCAAGAAGCATGCTTCGCTCAAATTTTAATTTAATTATTATGTTTAGTTTCAAGTGAATGTAATATCATTATTTCCCACCTAGTATTTTACTGGTTTAATCTAGTTCTATTCTACAACTCTAACATATTTCCAGTTCGGCACTGCAAACGAATAAATTCCTTAAATTTGTCGATGGAGGAGTTATCGAGATCGACGTTGGTCGGATGCGCACTTATTTTCTGGAAAAAAACGGTCAGAAAAAAGTTTAGGAAATGTGTGCCCTACTAAACGTTTGTTTCATCAGTCTTTGCATCGAGCTGAAAAATCCGGCACGATTTTTTTTCTTGTCTTATCTTTAGTGAATGGAACCATAACTGCAGAACCGGGACAATCCATTGATGGTTACTTTGAATTGTATAAAGCCATAAAAAATTCATTTGAAAACGAAAGTCCCTGTAAGGTAAACATAAAAATATGTTTGTTACAAAAGTGCGTAGTCTTGAACTTGAAATTAACTGAATGTAGATGATCAGAGCTTTAAATCACCCACTAGCACTTTATACGAAAATCTTTCAGATAACGATCATAGAAACGGGAAAAGTTGAACAGAGGCCTTCTCCAATACCTTCCGCACTTCGGCCAGCTAAGGCTGACCTCCAAGGATCTAGTGCTTGTGCAGTCATTTGATGTGCATTTCTACCATAAATTTGCTGTTGCAATAGATAATCTTCCAAGTTAGATTATATGATGACCAAGTACGATTCGAATTCTAAAATCTTGAAGAAAAAAAAAGATGAACTTTCTCCCGGAATCCCGCATTATCGTTTTCGCATGCGAACAATGCATTATGCGTGATTACCATTTTGAGCTCTGTACTTGTAAACTTTTCCGTTTCAAAAACTGGAGTTAATCGGAGTGTGAACACATTCCCCAGAATAGCTGGGACCTATTCACTGCTCTCCTAATATTTTACTTGGATTTCTTCCCTTATCTAGCTTATTCAAACCCCCCAAACAGCCTCTGTGACTTAGTCCCACCCACAGAGCACTTCAAATCTTGGTGGACATTTCTGCAAGAGAAGTGTTTAAACTAAAATTCTTCTGGAAGGAGGTTCCGATATATACTTCCATTGAATTAGGGAATCGGGTAATATAAGTACATTTCCGAAATCTCGATCAAAACACAAAATGCACACCTACCGAGCCACGAAATGATCGAATCATTTTTCTAAAATCATAATAAATGTAAAAAACAAGTACCATTCGGAAAACAGTTACGAAATCCAATATTTCCAAAGCTAAAATTGAATTTTGAGATAGCCCCAACCGCAATCCATACCATGTGTTTTTAGACTTATAAAACATAATTCATAAACTAATTAAGCATACAATACAAGCAATGAATCGATATGATAACGTAATATTTCTGGAAGTAATTCACCTCAATAAATTTTGATGATACAACAATATTTGACAAATGTTGATCATACTGCATGTTTTCTTGAGAATTTTTTTGCATGTTTTCTTGAGAAGAATGCATTCTCTTTTGAAAAGCATACTAGTAAAAATAATTGCAAGCAGCTGCTTATTCACAATATTCCCTATATCGTATTTTATCAGCAAGCAATGAAATAATTTATAACCGAAAAGAATAGTAAAACAACCGTGGCTCATTAACAATCCTAACCCATAAAAGGACTATAATTCTCAGACAAGTACCAGTGAGTAAAATTACTAAAGGAAAAATGATTTACAAAGATGAATACAGGTATACTACACAAGTTTGCTTATGTTCTAAATGATTTACAATACTGAACTTTCTTGCTACTATCAAAAGAAATCAGAAATCTACAAAATTACTAGAAACGGTTTTAAGATAACGAAAATCCGCACTTATAACAGTTCCTGTCAAATTAAAATAACAAAAAAAAAGCGCCAGAATCCCCATAAATTAACAAGATTGTTCTAATGAGTAGAATTTTTACTTGCGAAACCTTCATCAGAAATTGATAACAGAGCTGCAAATTCCAATTTTTGGCTGCAAAGATCTGTTGCAAAAGATTCAGGTCTCTCTTGCACCGGCGTTGTGAGGTCGAAAGAGGAGCAAGTATGAATATTGAAGACGCTTCCTCGATCGGATGTGTCTGTTGAACCATTCCAAGTTGAATCCGCCGTGTGTTCGCTTTCACTAAGTGAAGGTAACTGTCCATAATCACTTTCGTCCCAAATAATAACGCTGCAAACAAAACTTGATAAGATAGTAATGAGCATAAAGTAATAGACTGTAGTTAGCGTTTAAGACTATAGCTTCCTTTCGTGATACAAGGAATCCCAAAATTGATGAATTACAGAAATTTAATATAAAAAGTATACTACAGCAGGATATGAACAGTCAAAAATAAAAAAAATGTATTCCCTAGGTTTTATGGACGCAGAAATCGTATAACGAACAGAAATGTATGATATAAGTCAAACGCAGAAACATGCAGAATGCAACCCTCTTACTTTGTCTGTTCTTGATATTGTTTCAGTAATATACGCACCATATTCAATGTGTTCTCAATTTCGCGATAAGTTTGAGGTATCGGTATCTCAGTTTCTTTAAAGAAGCATAACATTTGCATTGGATGATTTATTTTCTGCAAAGAAAAATGAAATTAAGTTAAACTAAGAAAAAAAGAAAGAAAAACATAATAATATAAACACTTTAGATAAAGTAACAAAGCAACTTCATGAGGAAAATAGCGTACCAATTCTTGGATTCTTAATGATTATTATGAACTAAACTCTAACATTTTAATATAATCTTCTTCCCAAATGTTTAATATATTATGCAATGGATACATATATATATATATATATATAAAGGGATGAAATCAAATTTAATAAAAGTTGTGACTTTATGGTCATCATGTGTGAAATGATACTCAATCAAAACTCAGAAAATACCTGACACGGTTTCTTCGAAGATTTTTTTGCAATTCTTTTTCTTCAAAATGTTAATAAGAGATGTTTCTTTTCCCAACTCCTGCTCAACTGTGGTACGAACCGGTAATGATGAATGCGTTTTCAATGAGGAAAAAGATGGTGGGTATTCCTCAGCTGAATCTGAAAAGATATTGCCAAATAATATTGATACATTTTGATAAATGATGCTACGCAACAAGAGCTAAAAAAAGTTTTGTCTTTTTTCAGGAATAAGTCTGTATTGGAAATAGAAATATGATGGAAAGGATGAAACACCGAAAATGAAATCAAATGAAAGGAAAAATGTGACTGTATTGGAACAAACGCCAACCTTCGCTCCCATCAGCTGTCATCTGCCTACATGTTTTATCTGTTGTATCGTAAGCTGATGAAGGACACCCCATGGACATTCGTGATTGCAGTGAAGTTAGATACTCGATCAGTCTTTTACAAGCCATCTTCTGTTCATAAAACGGTTCCAACGTTTCTTCGTCAATAAAATCAGCAGCTAAACTAGGAGAGGTGTGAAGTGTTTAACTCATGATAGTACAAAATCTTTCACAGTTTCAACAAAATATCTTCTGAAAAAAATTAAAAGATTGCCACACGCTAAAACCAAGTTAATTTTAACTGATGAAAAAATCGAATCACTTAAATTCCTTAAGAAGCAATACGAAAAATCAATGTTACGTCTATAAACTACCTACAGAAATGAAAAAAAAAAACAGTAAATTCTAGATAATGGGGAAAAGAAAACTCACAAGACTGGTGGCGATGAGCCGCCGGATATGTCGCTGGATATGGATAGTTCAAACAAATTATGGAAGAACATTGCATATCTTTTTTATTTCTATTTGACCAATCAATGTATTCTGTCCGCTTCTTGTTGTAACTATCCACCAATTTCTTTTTTTTAGCATGTAAATCGCATAGATTATCTTTAAGCTGTAAGAAATCCCGCCTTTGTTGTCTAATATATCGATCAGTGTTATCAAGCTGATTTGTTATTTCACGGATTGACTTCAGCAAATTCTAAAATATGTCCTTCTCATTATTGTTTTGCAAAAATATTTCACAAATTTGATTTTATTACTGCATAAAGGTTTTACGAACCTGTGAAAGAACTAAATGGAAATATGGAACTGTATACTACTACTTACTACTACTAATTAAGGAATGAAATAAGGGACTAAAACAGCAACACGTAAAAAAGAAACCAAAATGAGAGGGAACTAACACTTAAAATCTCTGAAAAACAGTATGTGACAAAATTTACTGACAATCCACAACATTAAACAATAAACTAATCTATGTACACCTTCCTCTTCCTGTTGTAACTATCCACCAACTCCACTTGTTTTCATCGAAAGGACAAAGTCGCCGGAAGGGCTGAGAAGCATAATAAACTTCACAATATTAAGAATTAGTGAAAGTTCCGATAAAGAGATGGAATGTGTAGCAACATACACTACGCCTTTCATTGATTCCACATAATTGGAGCTGTATAACCCGTTTCTCTTCCATGACAGTATTATATTTCCTAAAGAACGAGTTATGTGGTGCAAGCAGTAAATAACACTGAATCCATGAAATAAAAAAGAAGAAAATGTTTTATGAGTGTTCTGAACGAAATTAATGTTATGAGTTGTTGAAAACACCAAAACTAAAACCGATAAGATCAGCTGAATATATGCCGATCCGGTAAGTTACTTCGACCATGCACATCAGTCTTGCGTTTGAAAGTGGTGATCTCAATATCACTAGCACGAACGAACTTTTACAACTTATGTGTTTGTGATTTGACTTATAAATTATGTATCTACTGCTATCACGTTGTATATTATGGATTTTTCCCATGTAGTGATATTAGCAAACCATTCACCTTATCTCTTTATGGTCTACTTATGCTGCTAATTTGACACCTGCAAATCGAAAATTTACATCACTAAGATATCTTATACCTATTGCGTCACAAATTTCCATCTGCTTAATCAGTCTTTTTCTCACGAAAATCCTCTTTTTTCTTTCCTCTCAAGCTTCTTTGGACTGTCCTAATCACAACTCAAGACAATGACTAATTCTACACAAGCCTTCAGCTAATGCCGAAGCTGTTTTTCGTATTTAAAGTATCACGTAAAACTGAACATGAATATCCTTTTTAACCGATTATTCAATTTTTTTTAAACGGAAATTAAATCAGTGGAATAATTAGATAAACTTGCGTTAGTTTGGCTCGATTTCGTTTCAATTTGTCGATTTCCTTGATGAGCGCTTTTTCAGTACGACTAGAAGTGAACTTCGTTTGAGAGTATGCAACCTCCAACTCTTTCAAACGTGTTGTCAATCTGCTTTCGTCCCTATAGACCAGATCGTTTTCTATATCGGACAACAATGCATTCTGCAAACTTTGCATATAATGATTAAATTATATGTAAATCAAGCTTCATCACTAGATGAACTAAAATATTCTTATAAATGTATATATGGTTGCTTATGTTTCGGTAAACGGCTCATTTCTTCAACATTCTCCTTTCATAAAAACAATATAACAAGTCAATAGATCCCAAAAGAAATGTTAACCGGCAAGTTTCTGAAAAACCCAAGAATAAACTTGTGAACTTCAAACTATTTTTCGTTATCCGAAAACCCTTCACTGTGTTGATATATCTTTGTTGAATGAATCATTAAAGTTTTCAAGATTTAAGAAGCAGGAAAGCATGGATTTCACAGTATCAAGCAACCGTTAACCTTTTCTGCGAGCAGCATTTTGATTTCATTAATTTCAATTTTCATCCCATCAGCCTCAACCTTCAATTGTTCTCTTCTTTTGCGAGGTTCCTGCTTGCTTTGTTTCAACATGGTTAAAGTTCCAGCAGTATTATTCTTTCCGATAATTCCGTCGATCTACAAATAAAAGATAATTTTCTCAGAAAATGACAAACGCATTCAAAAAATCACTCCACGAACTAGTTTAAAATGTCCGTTATCTTTAAAATTAAGCCCTCATAAATAAACGTCATAGGAAGTGAGCATAAAAAGATGTATAACCAATCATCCATAGTTATTGCTTCTGCATTATGCACTATGGATAAAACTTGATACAAATGTATAGGAACTGAAAACATCACACTCCTACTATTGTCAGTGAAAGCACAGATCAGGACTTTGTACAGATTTGTAGTGGATGAACAACTGAAACCGCAAAAGATTCAAAAATTCCTAAGAAACATATTCAAGAATTAGTGCAAAATGATCTGAAAGAGCTAAGCTCTTCATCAACAGCACAGTTGTCAACATTGAGACTTCGATGACTGAAACAACTGAAAGCCAAGAAAACCAGGCAATGAGGGATAAAAGTAACCTTTGCAACGGTTTCGCTAATACTCTGATTACATTCACGCAGTGCCTGTTGAAAAGCTTGTCTATCTGGTACAGTCGGTCTCAAGCTGGTTGTAGCAGAAACAGTTGTGTTTGTGACAGGACATGTCGTGCCTTTCTGCCCCATGTGCGATCACTATCGACAGCAAACAATTTTGCAACAAACTAATGACTTTCTAAAACTTCGTATATATAATATATATATATATATATATATATATATACATATATTCAATAAAATAAGTGCTGCAGAGAATAAATAAAACACTCAATGCCTATAACAAAGTTCAAAACAAGCATCCAAATCTTATTATGCACGCGGCTAACAGAGAATTCAAACCAAATTAATGGACATAAAAGCATTATCAATCCACCATTTCGCTGTCCATCGGACAAATAAAATTCAATTTATTAAATAAAGAAACAAGTTTAGTATATGCCAAGGAATCTGAAAATACCTTGGAGGTTCAGGAATATGCGTAGTGGAAGCAACAGTGAGGGTTAGAATAAAGGACTACGTGGTGTGAATTATCTACTGATGGCATACAGAGAGGGAATGACACTTGTAGAATAATTTCTCCAAACTTTCTTCATAATCTTGAAATTAGAGGACATATCGGAAAGAGAAAGATTGCTAGGTAAAGATATGCACCAAAGGATATAACCTAGATGGCACAACCTAAAGGCAGTCTACTTTACGTTCATATGAGGATAATATTGAAAACAACTTCTGAATGACTTGGAAAGAAGGAAAAGATAAGAGACATATCGAGACCAAGAATTATGACCTATAAGTATGTATATGTAAAGTCTCTTTACATATAGTATGTAAAGAGACCGCATTTTATCGTCAAAAAGGTATATATATATATATATATAAAATTTTCAATATTATCCTCATATGAACGTAAAATATATAGATATATATATATACATGTATATATGGGGGAGATGCTGTGAGATGACGTGTAGTAAATTGTCGTTCGTCATCAATTCTTTTCACCCGATCACTTCGCACTCGTCTACGATCTTTTTTCTTCCAAGGCAACAAGCGGGAAAACAAATTAGTGAGGACGACTAGGATAATTCATTCAGGGACCAGTGTCCAATAAAGATAGATTGGATCACTAATAAAAACAAGATGAACCACTGTCAACAAGAATCGATTCCCCGTGAAACACTGCAGTAAGAACATTTCATCTATGCGTTAGAAACAGTTAGTAACAATTAATTCTAGAAAAACGTTCGAAATGGCTAGTAAAGATTAATTAATCCTCGTCGACATCGATGTAGGAACTAATTCGATAATTACGTAATAAAAATAAAGGCATGATCAAGATAGTGTAAAATAAGCAAAATGAATTTTATGAATCAAATCTCGAGCTGTTCTTCACTGAATTAATCATCTTATCGTGCAGTTTGAACTCGATGTCATTTGAATGATTTGTTTGTGTGATTAAACTCAACGTTCACCCCACAGCGTCAGTTCCACTTACTAAAAATGGCCTGCGAGCGAGAAAGCATACTTAAAAGTTTGAGAATAGATGATGTTTCGTCCCACAATTCTTCTAATCGAATATAACTGCTTCATTATGTACTCCAGCTATCCTGCGGTAAACTTCAGAGAGAATCAGCTAACTAGATAGTTCGATTAATCTTTTGCCCTTATACCGAAGTCAGACGATCAATTTGCACGTCAGAATCGCTTTGGACCTCCACCGGAGTCTCTTCTGGCTTCATCCTACTCAGGTATAGTTCACCATCTTTAAGAAAACTTTGCGAAGTATATGGACAGGAGTATCCTATCATTTTTATAGATTTATATTATGGCTATCAGTCATGCGTTAGTTATTTTAAATCTCTCGTTCTTTTTGCCAAAGCCTAATTAAGCATGACAATTTCAGTAACACAATGTTTAGAGAAAGTTTGTTAAGTTCAACAAAGATATTATAGCTGAGCAGAATATACCTTAAAGCATTCTCAACAACCAATCCATGCATACTAAAATTTTGCCACACTTGCTAACACTGTACTCTAACCAAAAATGAAGGTTGAGGGATGTAAGACACTGTCTACTATAAAATATTCTGTATCTAGCACGCAAGTATGCAAACCAGTATATCCTGAAAACTGATTTGCATGACATGTACGGCATTTCTGTTAAATTTATCTTTGTTAAACGGAATGAGCCAAATTGGAACATCCCAAGAAAATGAAATGCAGGCATTGTTCGACAAGATTCTTGAATGTTTAGATTGGTTTGTCCTAAAGCTCTAGGAAATAATTCGGCTGTGAAGGGATGTAAAATTTGCACCTGTCATTCATGATATGCTAACCAAATGTAATAATAATCGCATAGGAATTCAAGGATCTGATCCCATAAGTTAACAGTAAGGTGCACTTCATCCAAACTTTTGCATTCTCGGACAGCAAGCTTCAACCTATTGAACAACAACGTCGTTAGACTAGTATGTTGACGGCTTTTTTCATTATTTTTTTAACCTTCTCTTGTTGATCGTTTGTATAACTTCCCTCATATTCCCTTACCTTACTGATATAAGAAAGGATCCAAGCAGTCGACTACCGAAATCAACAGATGAAAACGATTTTCTACGAGCCATTAGGGTAAAGATAATGAAATCAAGTACATCCGCACTGAACCGAAATCTTGAAATTCGAATATAAATAAATTGAAGAGCGAATTTTTAATATGCAATGACTATTCGGCAATTACTTCGTAACTGCTAAGACAGTGCGGATCTTACAGGAAACATCTTCCAACTTGTCTAGATCGTGCGATTCATGAAAGTACAGAAGGACATTGGATGGTCGGGCGAAGTCGGATTATCTGCGGAAGCGGAGGCTGACATCCAAGAATGAGATTTCCAGGTTTTCCCGCCGTTGAAACATTCCCTTCACCGACTCCCGACCGTACCCCCTCCTCCGCTGATCCCTGACCTTTTCTCCTTCCTCTCCTCCTCCCACGGCCACGCATCCCTCCCTCTTTTTTCTCCCGCCTTTGTTTGAATTATCCAGATCTGGCAATTTGCCATGTGACTAATATTGCTGGCATTAAGCCAAACTCAAGATTTAGGGTAAATTGGATAAGTTTTTAAAAATGATAAGCAAGAACGCGAGTGGGACTGGAAAACAGAGATCCCCACCTCCACAGCTCCCTTACCTCTTTGCTCTGTCTCCGCAACACCTCCACTTCCCCCTCCATATCAGAGCGATAGCATAAAATCGTTTGGTCCGAGCGCTACAGAATCGTTGCGGGAGCCTGGGGAGGGAAGCATTGTCATAGGGTAGTGAGCAGGTGGCGTGTGAAAGGTATAAAGGGTGGGTCTGTGCGAGTGTCTGCATCTGTCTGTCTGCTCAAAGGGCGACATCGAGGTGTGCAGTGTGTTGTGACATACCTGCTGGGGTCGCATCCCTGTTTGTCTCTTTTGCTCGCTTTTTATTTGAAAAATTCAAAAAAAAATCATAAAAATTTGTTGAAAAATCACCCAAAACTTCTGTCTATCCGTCAGAAAATCCACCCCCCAAAAAAAACTACAAAACTTTCAAAAAGTCGTTACAAAAAAAGGTGAACGAAGGATTTCGAACTGCTACGCTGATCGGTTGCCACTTTTTTCTACGCAAGGTTTGTTCATATCTTTTTCAGCTTTTACTTTTACATTTGACAGTTTCATTTATCTTTCTTCCTTAAGGCTACACCCTCATAATATCTAATCCTTAATTCTCACTTTATTGTAATCTGAGTTGTCTTCTTCAGTTTATGTCAGGCTGTTACTGTTATTTGTTGGATTATTTTGTTTTGATTAAATTTCGCCCATATTTTTTGCTTTTCCTGAATAGGAAGTATCATATGCTCTGAATTGTATCTTTTTCGATACTAATATTTTTCGTGGCTTAGTATTAGCTTTGCATAAAAGAATGACGATGTGACTCGTATAAAACACTTCCCTCAATCTTTTTGACCGCACTGTTTAGCGTGATCTTTTAATTTGTGTTATTTCTTTACTTTGTCTTCCAGCCATGCTTGACATTAGTCTTAATAAACTGCTGTCTCTCTTCAACTCCCCAGAACGATGACTTTTTACTTCCATATGTTACCTTTTTTGTATAAATTACCATTCTTTCTTACCTACCATTCTTCCTTATTTTCACTCTCCTTTTTTGAACAAATATCTATAGTTTTGTTTGAAATCTGCCCCATTATAAGTATGGTTAATTGAATTCAAGCCACTGGTCCTTATATACAGCCCAACTGAATGGATAAACGTGGAATGTCCGCATGTATACGATAGTTAGCGTAATATTTCATTTTCCTTATAAAAAGTATGCCCAAACCTGCAGGACGCAAGCTCTTTCCATCAATTTGCATATGATTCGGAAGTCTGATATGCAAATTTTGATGCTGTAGAACCAATGTTTAATTTCGATGTCTCTCCACTTTGAACGTTTCATTCTGTTGAAGGTGGGAAGCGTAAGGTCGTTTCTTTATTTTCTTTCGGTTTTCTCGTTTAATTGGTCGATGGTGTGAGTTTCGCTTGATGCACTGGAGTGGATTTTGAGAAAGGAGAGAGACTTCATTCCCAGTATATAATTGTCGTGTGACTATTGAAATAATATTTTGTGTACAATGGTGATTTTTGAGAGGCATTATCCAGTTCTGTGTTTCGCTTGTTGTTTCAATACATGCCGATAAATGATGGATGTTGACTTATAAATTCAGAGCCTTTTCAAGGATTCTCAATTGCAGTCCAGAAATTTGTAAACAAGGAGGACTTATTCAGGATTAGGTATATATCATGCGAGATCTAATTAATGAATTTTCAGATTTGATAACGGTATAAATTGGTCGCCAGTAGCAAATTTAGTGAATAGAACAAAAGAAAATTAGAAATGGCAACAGTAGCAACAGCTGGTGCTGGTATGACTCCATCATATCCAATGGCTTCACTTTATGTTGGAGATTTGCATCCGGATGTAACTGAAGCAATGCTTTTTGAAAAGTTCAGCAGTGCCGGTCCAGTACTCTCCATTCGTGTATGCCGTGATGCAATCACGAGACGCTCGCTGGGTTATGCTTATGTCAACTTTCAACAGCCGGCCGATGGTTAGTTATCTTTGTCCAGCAGAAAATTGCTTAAGCAGTATTTATGCTTCTCACCCTGCAGATTTTAACTAATACTAATCAATAAGTGAAACCACATTCTGAGTTAAGCTATTTGTACATTGACACGAATGAATTATTTTATTAGAAAATTCTGGAAAATATATCTAATTCGAGTTTTATGAGCTCCTTGTAAGAGCTTACAATCATTAAATAGCGTACTTGGAAGGTGAAATTGATTCTTGACGAGCAGGTTTGATGTTATCGGTTTATTTAATTTTTTTATTTATTTAATTCATATCCAATGGTTTTCAGTCTTGTATCTCTTTTTACATGTTGTACAAACCCCACCAAAGATGAATGTTTGAAAACCATTGGGTTATGGATTAAAACTGCATAACAAAAAAGTCGTCCATTTCTTTTATTGCACTATTGGACGGAATTACCATAGATATTCATTATAGAAAACTTAATGAAATGTCATTCAAATACTCTTTATTTTCCAGATCTCATGCTTATGCCGCATAATATGATTAATTTAGAAGTGGGTAATTCCGCTTCACTTCCTTCTTACATTGATTCTTATTTGTAGCGGAGAGGGCTTTGGATACGATGAACTTTGATATGATGTATGGCAAACCTATTCGTATCATGTGGTCACAGCGTGATCCATCAATGCGTCGTTCGGGTGCTGGCAATATTTTTATCAAAAACCTAGACAAAAGTATCGACAATAAGGCCATTTACGATACATTCTCGATGTTTGGGAATATCCTGAGTTGCAAGGTTTGTTTGTGAAAAATACTTCGTAATTTATCAACTGGTGGTGTCTCTCTAGCATCACACTTTGGCCAGGAACATAAGTTGTATATAGAAACATAACATTACTAGTACTCGCATAGTTTAAGTTAAAACTGACTATCTTTGAAGTCGAGAATTTTTTCTTTGCAGTAATTATGGTGTTTGTAGGTTGCTAATGATGAGGAGTCGAATAGCAAAGGATACGGTTTTGTCCATTTCGAAACTGAGGAAAGCGCTCAGAAGGCAATTGAAAAAGTGAATGGAATGCTTCTGGAAGGAAAAAAAGTGTACGTTTCCATCATTTTATTCTTTTTTTTGCGGAGAAAAAGTAATAGTTGTGCCCCCCTTGACCAAAAATGTAGAGCTGTAATATGTATTCTTTTTTCCATCAGTCATTTTTAGGTATGTGGGCAAATTCCAACCACGTACGGCACGTCTGCGTGAAATGGGCGAAACGGCTCGTCGTTTTACCAATGTTTACATAAAGAATTTTGCTGATGAACTAGATAAAGAAGCGCTGGAAAAACTATTTTCCAAATTTGGAAAGATAACAAGCGCAGCTGTTATGGTAGATGCCGATGGCAAGTCAAAGGGTTTTGGTTTCGTTGCATTCGAAAATCCGGAAGATGCCGAAAAGGTAATTTAGAAACAGGATGGTAGATATAATAATTACTGTTACTTACTGTTTGTCCTGAATTTTCAGGCTGTAACAGAGATGCACGAATATGAGCTTCCGGGAACAGAACGTAAACTCTATGTTTGCCGTGCACAAAAGAAGAATGAACGCTCTGCGGAGCTGAAACGCCGCTACGAACAGCAAAAGGTTGAACGTATGCAGCGTTATCAAGGAGTCAATTTGTATGTGAAAAATTTGGATGACACGGTGAACGACGATATTTTAAAACAGAATTTCGAAGCCTATGGAAAGATCACCTCAGCCAAGGTTATGTGCGACGATAATGGGCGTTCTAAGGGATTCGGTTTTGTTTGCTTTGAAAAACCGGATGAAGCGACAAAGGTAGCTTTCATAAAATTATGATTTTCTACAAAATGTTTCATATGTATACCACATCTACCACTGACTGTAACGTGTTCCATTACATAATGGCTGAAATACATTGTTATTTTCTTGAGGTCGTTGTATTTTCCCTTCTTAGGCGGTTACTGAAATGAATGGCAAGATGATGTGTACGAAGCCTTTGTACGTTGCTTTGGCACAGCGCAAGGAAGATCGTAAAGCACAATTAGCATCACAATATATGCAACGTCTTGCATCTATTCGTATGCATAATGCTGGTAGCATGCCTGGGACCGTTTACACACCAGGCACTGGTGGGTTTTTCGTTTCATCGACGTTGCAGAATCAACGAGCTTTTATGCCAACTGCAACTATTCCTGGTGCTCAAATGCGCGGAACAACACCAAGATGGAATACGATTGGCGCAGCGGCTGGATTTGGTATATTTTTGATATTAAATGTTAGCATGATGTGGCGACTGATTTTCGGTTTAGTTTTGATTACGTTAAAATATGATGTCGGAAGAGCTACGGAAAAGCAGGTTTACGAATTCTTTTTTCGTCTTTCGCTTTAAGCTAATGCATGAGTATTATCTTTTGTTATGGAGACAAACTGCATATCAGTGATATCGCAAAAGAACACATTGGTGATGTATTTATTGTACAGTACTGTGAAATCGAATACGATTATCTAACATGATCGATCACGTTGTTCATAGGTGTACAATCGCCATATATGGTCCAGAGTGGTGCATATGGGCAGGGTGGCAGAGGCGGTACTCGTCCAACAGCTTCCTCTGCTGCAGTGGCTATGCGAGCTCAGCAGGGTCAGTATGGACCAGCGCAGGCTGGTGTTACGCGTGGAGGTCCGCAGGCGCAACGTATGGCTGCAGGTGGTGCTATGGTTCAAAATCAAGGTACACGCTCGCAACAGATGGTGCGTTTTTATTAGTATTCGTTTGGACATCTGATTAATTCTTTATTTTTACATAATTAGGAGTTAGTCTTAACTCTTTGTGTTTACTTGGTTATAGGATTATCCAAATATCCTTTAGGGAGGACGACAAGCACAACCGGGAAAACCTAGCCAAGGACAAATGATGTATTCATCGTACAGTGCCATTACTGGACGTCCAGGTCAGGTACAATCGCAGCAGAACAGCATTGTCATTCAGGGTCAAGAACCGTTGACCGCTCACATGCTTGCACAGGCTCTTCCACAGGTTTGGTTTAGCATTCTTCGATATTTCCTGCAGTAAACTTGATTTAAAATCTGTGAAATTCCAAATGTGACGGTTTATGAACGAAACTGATGATGCGAATTTTTGCAAAGTGCTTTTTATGAAATGGAAGGGTTTGTTCCTTTTTAAATCATCCGAATTATGTAAAAATCATGAAGCTTACTTACAGGAGCAAAAGCAAATGCTTGGTGAGCGTATTTATCCGCTCATTGAGCGCATCTATCAGGGTCCTGATGTTGGTAAAATAACCGGAATGATGCTTGAAATGGACAACTCAGAGTTGCTGATGATGCTCGAGAACGAGGAACTGTTACAATCGAAAGTTTCAGAGGCAGCATCGGTGTTGGCATCTTCGAAGGGTCAAAATCCTTGAAGAAAGAAATCGTCGATTTATTCTTTTTTCTTAACTTTTCAACTTCAACTTTTTTTAAAAATTGCTTAGTATCTCTTACACCACACCCTGCCCCACTCAGGTTTATTGTCTTTTTCCTCAGTAAAACCCACGTTTTATGCTCACTACTACTCTATCTTTATTGCGGCATCTCTTATTTGTAGCGGTTAGAATTGATAAGACCACTGTAGTTACCACTAGGTTTCGTATTTTTTAAGCAATTGCAAGTTGGCCACTTCTTTAATGGGCCATGTTCGATTGTTTTTTTTTCCGGACTTTTGAGATTTGTCGGAAAATTTAAAAAACGTCGTAATTTTAACGGGATATTTACCCTGACAATTTTGGTTTTTTTCCTATTTTTTCTTTTTTATTGATTCTCTTAAAAAATATGGACAAATCCAATGAACAATTTGCTTCTTATGGATCACTTCCGAATAGGAGTCATAAGGTGCATTATTTGTGGTTTTGTAGTCTTTGGCATCACTTTCTTTTGCTTTCCATTTTACCAGTCATCATCTTTCCTTAAAATCATGGTGACTTTTAGCTAAAATGACGAAAAACAGCTGAAAATCGTCACTGTTAAAACTGTTCTCGATAGCTGTTTGTATCCAATTTTTGCTTTGAATTTTCAACTTTATTTTTTCGTGGACTGCTTCATTACCAATCGTTTTTATGAACCATCTGAATATATCTTTGGTGTGAATTGAAGCTGAATTGTTTCGTTTAGTATGGCTTTCCAAAAACCAAATTTTTTATGTCACTTGGTGAATGAATGTTTCCTCACTGAATATCTAACGGAAACAACGTTGTTCGTAATTAAAAATTCGGCTTTTTTTAAAATTATTTACCGGTTTGTGGGGCGTCTATTAATCAGTATTGTCAGCATGTTCTTTTTTGGTCGGTTGAATAAACCTTGTTGTTGGATTTTTCTTTGGTGTTCCATATAAGTGAATTTATCCAAGGTATATCGAAAGTCTGTATTTGGGTTTGATTTATCACTCCTACATTTTGATTGGTAACACCAATGCGACTGTATGTTGAAGTTTACTGGCGTTATGGGACACTCATGGAGCTTAATTTTCCGGTGGGACCATAATACCGTTGCGCAAGCAAAGGTCTTGGAGCTACCAACGAGTAATACTTATTTTGTGTGTATGTGGTATGTGATTCATCCAACTGACGATTAATCACACTTCACATTACAAGCTTATGCAAACATGAAATTTGTAGACCAGGGGAACTATGTGTGACATTTGTATTTGTGGGGAGTGCCTCTACAAACATTACCAAACATTAACTTCTGTAGAGGAACTTTTGGTCCATAAAAGTTAGTTAACTTATCGAGAAATGGATTTATTGCCGAAGATTTGACCATGAATCGTAAATGGGTATGCTATGTTGACTTAAGCTAGGCTTAATTCCCATCATGATATCTTTATCTGAAAGGAATGATGAATCCTTTACTTTATGAAGGCATAATTTAGCCGTTTATTTGAGGTTATCAGAAATGGAAAGGGAAGATGTTATGGAAACAGCCACTAAATGTGGGCGGCACGCATTCCGGATGGTGCGTCATTTCCACAAATATGCTAAAAAGTGTATTGAAGTTGGTATTCCAGCGCCATTTGCAGCCGAAATGACGAGAAATGCATCACAGTCATTGGAAGTAATAGTTTCACGTCATGTTTTTGAGTATTAAATGCTTTTTTCTTTCACAAAGGCAATCGACTATAAAGCCTTTTCTATCTTTTTAACTTTCTTTTCGACTAATGAATCTTTTCCATCAAACGGGATCTTCCTATTGGTGTGCAACTGATTATAGCAATTTCCTTCCAATTATAGGATTTGGGATTTGAAGGAAGGAAGAAACTGTGTTACTGCTTCCGATGTAATTTAGATTTGACTTCTACGAAGACCGTTTCATTCAGACTGTCAGTGCCTAAAAGAAAAGTAAAGAAAAACAAATGGAAAAGATACAAAAGGTTAAAATTTCTGCAAGCACTTCAAAGCGATAAAATTTAATTGAATATCCTCTTATAAGCTGACCCTAATATAAGAGGATACTAAATTGAGTCCTTTTATCATTCTTTTCCTTCTCTGAAGCAAAAAAAAAACTTTAATTTCTACAGTTTTTTATTGTTTCCATTAGCGACAGTTTGTTTTAAACTCCACTGCAGTGCTTTCTGGTTTTGCACGGGCATTAAAGCTTTCTATGTATCAAAAAAGATTATTAATCCACATTTGTTTGGGCAGAAGCGTTTCGAAAAATTCTTGGTTCTTGAAAATTACCATTAAATAGCACTCATGCATAAATGAAAACAACCGTTTAAAAAAGTTTTCCTGGCCATAGCACTTGTAATTCTCATTACTTAGTGCTAAAGGAGCGCATATTATTGCAAAGCTAATTCAAAAAAAAATGTGTTCTTTGCGCTTTCGAATGTTTATTAATTCAGGCCTATCCAACTGATAGCAGTTTGTAAAGGATGTGGGGCTGAAATGAAAGGCGGCGCTTTGGCAACTGTGGAATACAAAATGCGATGTATGCAAACGTTCTTTGATCAAAGTTTGAAAAGAGAATCACGAAGATTTCCAGTCCACTCTGCCTTTTCTTCACCGGGAACTTCATTCCAAGAAACTCCAACTTCCACTCAGTTGGTTTTATGTTTTCAACCCTTCTTTTGTTTTAACCCGTCTCCAGTTCTTTGGAAAACGAATATATTTTCACAAAGGTATTAGTATTGCATTATGAAAAAATATAGTTAGTTATGAGTCATAGTATAGTTAATTATATAAGATTGTTAACATCAGCAAACGGATGAAAAATGATCGTTAAAATTGAATAAACCTAATGTTTGTTGAAATTGATGTTAATTTAAAAGTTGCAAATAAGAAAAACTTGAAGTTTTGACGTTTAAAAATTGCAAATAGTAAAAACTTGAATTTGTAACCGGTTTTTTTTTTGCTAAACTGAATTTTAACAATGTTGCACAATTCATTCATTCATGATTTATCTGTATTTGTTAGGACATTAGGAATTTGAAACGGATAGGAATGACTGTAAGGGAAAGAAATACTTCGAAAATTTTAGTGAAAATTTTTATTCATTACAAATGAGTTAGCTTTTCCATCAGGCACAGTAGTGATCAGGCTATTGTGGATGAGGACAATTTACAATGATCTTTCTGGTTAGATGAGGAGAATCCATTTTTTTCTCTGATCTATATCAGAAAGATCCATCTTTGATTGCTCATCAGTGCATAGATATTAGGTTACTCATCAATACTAGTACGCTATTTGTATTAAATGAAATGTTTAATATGCAATTAATAATCACTCTGATTTGCTTATCATGATCCAACAGTTCTGTCCACCATCTCCACTACTTACTACATCATCCTCCTGGAAGAGGATTTGCTCTTTTTTACTATATTCAGTAAGACCGATTCTGTTCAAGATTTCTTTTCGGTCACAGTCCTTAACATGTCTAGATCATCTGTTTCAGAGTAATGGAAAGGAAAATTTCGTCTTCCGGACGTCGACGAAAACTGACATCGAAGTTGCAACGTATCCTGAATAGTCAAACACCGGTACGCAGAACGACAAGTTTGCAGGGCTTTTTGGAAGCTTTCAAGATCAGCATTGACAATAGGATGTAATTTACCAACATGTATCAAACAGAAATAAAGTTGTTCAAATACCACATTATAAAAACCGGATCATAAAAACATTCGAAAACCATATCGTGAAAATTGGATTCTGAAGAGGTTCAATTCACTGATCTATTGATGTAAATTTGCCTATTTATGCAGTTGTCGCTGTTAACAGTAAATGGGTTAAAAAAAGATGAGATATCCCCATTGTGTTCATTTTCTTTACAGAGTAATCACAACACGTCGGTTCATAAATTGTTGAGTTGCAAAATTCTCTTCGAAAGTACAAAAGGTATTCATGAAATTGCACTGATCTGAGGGAAGGCGGATTTTTAGCAAATCACTCTTAAATTTCGAAATACTTAATTTAGAAGTGCAGCTCGCTGGAAGGAAATTTCAGTTTTGAATGTTATTATAAATTATTGAAAAACAAATCCGAAGAACTTAAGACTGCATCCTTGGTGATTTCTTGATGGTCGGATGTGGGACGACATAGTTTGAAGCTCTCGAGAGTTCTCGGCCCTTCTTTTTTCAACAAGTCACGGACTCATGAGACTGTACGGAACTATGGGTGGAGCTAACAGCTCTAGGAGTGCGGAGTTAAATAAGATATTTAATAATAAAACTAGGGTGGTGTTATTGCTTTTATTTGAACGGCTATGTTATGTGTCACTATGGGCTTGTTTACTTTTCTCGGAAAATTTTCAAATTTTATGCGTACAACAATGGGTGGCGGGAATTTGGAGGAAGAAGATTATTACCATGGTTTATTACCGCGAGAAGATATACCGCATTTGTTAATCAAGGAAGGTGATTTCTTGGTACGATCAAGCGAAACAGCACCAAATCAACCACGACAAGTCATTATTTCTATTTTGGTGGAGAAAATGGGAGCAATTGTAAGCATATTACAATCTCTGGAGATAACTCAAGATGTTTTGTTGAAAGTTAATTACGAATTTGAACGATGACAGTTAAGTGATTAGTGAGTCTCTTGCTCTTTGTCTCAAAAAAGTGACAAGTCAACATCTATCCCTTAGTGCGCTACCTGAAGAAATGCGACTAAAATTTATAACTAGTAGAAATGTGTGTGTGTGTGTATATGTATGTATGTATGTATGTGTGCGCAAACGTATTGATCATTTGTCCTAAGAATTCGCATATATAAACTGTTTTATACTTTGTAGCCTCATTTATGAGATGATTTCTACTACGAAATATGACTCAAAAAGCATTTTGCATAGCTAACAATTGAACTGGTACTTATTAGTCGTTCAAGCTGTAATTAGTATAATTATATTATGGAAGTAATGAAGTATTCCCATAAAATACAATGAGAATGAATTTCTTATTACGTCTATTGATGATTTCACTAATCCCTTTGGATGCTAATCTGAAGTTCCCATAGTATTGGGCTGTATGGGCTGATTTAATTATCACATTACCATCATCAAAAGTTGGATAACTTTTCAACAAAACCATAAATTACGATGTCGCTATTTCTCCGGATATTGCTAAAGTGAACTTATGAAATCAAAAGTTTCCCCTTTGGATTAGAAGAAATGGAAGAAACTATCTGTCAAACAGTCGTGAAAAGAATTATTGTTTTGAATGAGGTAGAAGAAAAAACGATGAAAATTTAACTGAAATATTGAAATTCAGGTGAGACACATAGTGGTACAACAAAATATTCATGGGAAATATGTGACCGATGCTCGTGCTAGTTTTCATAGTGTGCCGGAGCTTATACAATTCTACCGAAACTGTGGTGAACCGGTCCTCAGCACGGTAGACTCACATATTACTGGATTACTGCAAATATTGGTAAAATGAGCAATTTGCCTGAGTTCAAAAACTTTCCGGAAATTGATTTAAGTTGTCCGGTACCTCTGTTGTACTTCGCGACCTTCTCTCAAGTTAGAGTTATTACCACTTATACATGGAATAAAGCTGAAACTTAACTTCAGTCTTAGACCGAATCCTTGAAAATTACAAATTATTAAGTGTTATTTTTTGAAATCTCCAACTCCGGGTTGTAAACCCAAAAAAATACCATTACTTTTCCTGGATAAGATTGGAAATTCTTGTCTAGATGGGGGTACAATCATTTGGTGGAAGAGATAAGAGTTTGTAAACAATACGGAGACAACATTTTGCAAATATGGAGTGAACGTGATAAGAAACTCCGTCGAACCAAATGAGTTCAATATTTCAGTTATATCATTACAAATTTACAATTTCATCGCTCTTAGCTATAAATCGAGTATTTTGCTGAGTGCTAGATAAAAAGCTATAACTAATTTTATCTCATTTTAAATTGAAACCAATTTTTCTGTTTTTTAATAAAAATCAAATTTCGTAGGTGCCAAAAGCGATTTTGAAACGAGCAATAACTCGAGCACCATGGGAATTACGGCATGAAACGGTTATAATTGAAAACAAAATTGGTGAAGGTGAATTTGGTGAAGTGTTTTCAGGAAAATACAAACTTCCAACTGGAAGAGTGGTCGAAGTGGCCATTAAATTGGTTTGGTTGTCATTAATCTTCGATTTGATAAAAAGCACATTGAGTTTTGCATCAGAGATGTTTACTATAAGCAAAGAATGAGCTTAAAATATAACTTTTAGGCTAAAAAAGCAGAAATGTCGAAAGAAAAAATAAAGGAAATGATGAAGGAAGCCCGTCTGATGCGTAATTACGAGCATCCCAACGTTATTCGCATGTATGGCGTATGCGTCGAACATGAACCATTACTTATCGTTATGGAATTGGTAAACGTTTTTTAATATACAGAATCCCTAATTAAGCCGTCACGTCCAACGTATGCATCTTCAACTGACGTATAGTTTTGTTTTTGACCATTGCTTTCTTCAATTCTGCGACGAAATGCTCAATGATATTACGTTTGCGTTATATATGCATTTACTTTTGAATTGATTAACGTATGTATGTTGACATATTTAAATCACACATTCTTATCATAGAAATGCTGAAGTAAATTATTCTTCGTCACTTATTTTATTTCCTGACATTTAGCGTTGTTTTAACTTGTTTAAAATTAATTGACATTTTTAGATTTATAGGTAGATGGTGGAGCGCTGGATGATTTTCTGAAAAAAAATCGAGTTTCAGTAAAGGATAAAATTGAAAAAATGGTTGCTGGTGGTGCTTGGGGCCTGGAATATTTGCATTCCAAGAATTGTATTCATCGTGATATTGCCGCCAGAAATTGTTTGCTTACACGTACTGGCATAGTTGGTTTATTAACTTATTTACTTGCTAAAGCAAATAGAAACATATTTATGTAGGAATTAGTTTTAGAAAATTGAATTAAGTCAATCAAAAATGACTTTTCAGTTAAATCAGAAATAGCTAGGTTATCCAGTTACTCTCCAAGTCTGGGATAGGTATTCAATAATCCAATACGGTAAACAAATGGGTTCTTTTTGCATATTTATCCACTGACTTTTGACTGGTAATTAATTAGATTTGTACTATCTGAGGACTAAATGCAAAAGTCCAATTTATTCTTCACCGATACTTAAGGCACTGATTCAGTTCTAAGAAATATACATTTCTGTTACGATTTCTTTTTGTATGGTGTGATCGGATGTTGCCAAAACTCTGATGGTCCAATTCAGTTAATCCATAGAAAGACCATTTCTGTTGCATGTGAAAATATCGGACTTTGGCCTATCACGTGAAGGTGATGAATATCAAATGACAAAAGCAAGGCGGGTTCCAATCAAATGGCTTGCGCCAGAAACTATCCAACGATTAGTCTACACTTCCAAAACAGATGTATGGAGTTATGGTGTCATGGTGTGGGAAATTTTTGCAAATGCAGCAGAACCTTATCCAGGAATGACAAATGCAGAAGTCAAAGAAAAAGTATGATAAACACCTAAATTTTAAAAAAGTGAATGAATTCTCATTTCTGAATATTAAGAGCAGAATTTTTTGAACGGTTGTCAGCCGTGAAAACCCTTAAAATCAATGAACACTGCAAAAACATTACTGCAAGTACGAAATGAATCCATCCATCAGGTTCTCTCCAAATTACTTTCAATGAACCTGTTTCTTGCGAATGACTTCTTTTTCTCAAATTACCATTAAAATGAGTCTAGTTAATGAATTCCATGATTTCATGAAAATCGACTAAATTGATTCAGAATATTTTTCGATCAATTCTGGACATTTTATTTTCCTAAAATACCATGTCAAGTCAATACAGGTCACAAATGGGTACAAAATGTTATTTGCACCAGAAGCACCACCATGGATTGTTGAAATAGTACACAATGGCTGTTGGCAATTAAATCCGGATAGGAGAGCGAATATGGGACAAGTTTGTGGATTCGTATGCACCTCCAAAATTTTAAGTAATTCCAATTCAGGATGATAAATCTGATTTCAATTGCAGATAGCACGGTGGATCGAACAAAATGCTGGTATAACAGCTCCAGTGGTTATCACTCCTCCGTTACTTGTTACGAAATCAGGAGTATCAGGTATGCCCTAGTCCATCTTGCAAATAGTAATTCCGATCTACACCAAATTTTAAAATTTTTAATTGATGTTTTCAATATTAATAATCTTTAACACTAACATTCTTTTTCATTACTATATATTTTCGTCTTGGATCGTTTGATTACGCTAAAAACTTGGTCAATTAGAAAATTCCTTCAAATGATTTGCTGGTAATTTCATATTTAAATCTTTCTTCAGCATTTTTATTTAAACAATAAGCATAATAAAGGTTAATTATCAACCAAAATTTAGCAGCAAAAAGGAAAGGAAACGAGGGAACAGATATCAAGAAATCAAAAATAATGAAAAAAAAGCTTAAAAAGTCGAAAAAAAGAAAGATCAATAAATAGAAGATGTCTATCCTTGGAGACATATTATGGTTACTGCTTTGAAATATTCTGTACATAAAATGATACTCATCTTGTATAATGTTCATTACCGTGCATTTGATGATAATTGTATGATAGTACAAATGAAGTTACTATGATTCAACAGTGTACAACGATTTCCGTAAGCAGTTTGCAAGTGTGTAGCAGTATTAAATGATGTAGCAATGAAACTGAATCAGCTACAATTTTAGATCTTCTCTTACTTAGAATTTCGTTTGACTCAGTTTTACATTCGTCATTCACCAGTTATACTATTGTATCTAAGACCTGTTTCAACTTTCGTGCGTGTGAAAAAAACAAATTTCATTCAATCAGTTATGGTTTTGTAAAGCTTTATGATGACAAAACTCTTTTTGTATATCAGCAAATTTACCTTGATTCTTTACATTACCAATACTCAGTCTTCATTTTCACTGTTTTCTACAAAAAGTAGATGGGAGAAAATTAGTAATATTTATCTGTATTTGTCTATTTGTCTAAAAATTAAAATAATATAATCATCAAAACTATTTGTCTAAAAAATGAACTGTAATCCCAATAAATCTTGCAAATTTCGCATAGAAAAGAAAATTTTGATTTATTCCCCACAACATTTGGAAATCGGCTAAGAAAAATGAAATATGAAGTTCTAATCAGTATTCTCATTCATATTTTCTTGCCGTTTTGCCTTTGGATATTAGATTTTTCCGATTTTTCTAAAGAATAAGGATTGAAGCGAAAGTCTTATGCTCTATCGAATTTTGCTAATTGCATTGCAACTGGTTGGTGCAATAGTTAAATACAATGTTCTGCTCAAATAGTTCTCGACATTTGAAATCCTTTGATTCTTCCATGCTCCTGTACATGTAATATTGAATTGCTGGATAATGTCGCACATATGCAAGCAAACATATTCTGTTTGCAAACAAAATAGCATTTCTAAAGGAGGCCGAATTCATGTAGTGTTTGAGAAGCATTATTTAAAATTTGAAAATTTTATTGAGAATCGTTCCCATTCTTCCCAAAAAATAATTCCCGAATTTTTGAAATTTATACAGAGCAATTATTGCTGTAAATTCATCTCGGGCCTTTTCAAATATTATGCAGGTGATAGAAAACTGAAAGAAACTATAATTGGGATTTCAATCTGCCACATATTTCTTTCTTGAGTTGAAGTTTTGAAAAATACTCTCTTATGAGACAAATTCTCATAGAATTAATTTAGCTTGCAACATATAGAACTTTTAAGAATATAGAATAGTACAAGGATCGGCTAGAAATATATTATATTGAATGGAGGCGGACATGTCTATTGTCTAAGATTATTTGTTGCAAATGAAGTAAGAGATAAACAGGAATATATCTGTTTTCCTTTATGTTCCTCTTTACTTCACCATCAGTTGTCATTAGTGATATTAAGAAAGATAAAAAGCAAGGAATTTTCTCTGCAACTGTAAAAGTGTCACTTCGTGGAGAATCAGATGGAAGTGTGACATTGATTACTATTCGTGTGCACATTTATTTTCGTTTCTTTTGTAAATGCTTTTCGAGAAGAAATCTAACTAGCTGTGATTGTTTTATCATATCATTGCGTTACGTTTGATTTCATTCCATCGATTCTGTCAACTTAACAGCTAATGATTAAAGTAAGCGAGAAATGAGTGAAGATAAAAACTAGCTAAACTGGAAGGTTTATTTTCTTCTATTGCCAGAGAAAAGTTATTTCGACTTGACTTATTCCGTTTGTTACGTACAAATAAAAATCGTGTTACTAATAATTGTTAGTTTTGCCAATTATCTCAACATTTTTAATATCCATCTTCATTCAGTGCTTCCAGAAGTGCTCTCAGTAGTTATCATTATAATTTATCATTTATTATATTGATTATTGAATTATTTGCTAATTAGTCAGTTCAAATAGTTTCAAATAAATACACTTTTAAGTTTATGCAAATTAATTTGATATCATTAGCAGTAGATAAAACTTCAGAAGACAAAACGAAGGAGAAGTAAATTATTTTCTTCAGTTTTCCCTCAGAAATTATTTCTTGAACTGACTCTCTAAATCTAAATCTCTTTCAAATATTATAGTAATTCTTTTTGTTTTCTGTTTTCTCTTAAAAGCCAAATTCAACATTCCATTCCTTCATTGTCCGCTTACTTCGATAATAATCATAGCACTTTACACTACTCTTTAGAATAGTTCAGCTAAAATACCCATTAGAATCTAAACAATTCCTAGCTTACATCTTTCCTCCTTAGAACATATGCTCTAATATTTCTATTTATAATGGTAGCTGATTGTTTTATACATTTCTTCTCTCAAAACAATAGTTTGTTATAAATTCTTTGAAATTTCAGCTAGTCGATTTCCCAAACTTTCCAGCATATTTTCTCGATTTATAACCATTCATGCAAACTCTCAAGCATACTTCACCAAAGCATTATTCTATTTTGAATGAAATGAAGGGAAACGAAATCGATAAGTGACCGTTGAGTTGACTCAAATAGAAATAGAATTAAGTTATGATAGTGCTGCTATCAGTTCTACCCATGTATAAAATGTGTGTGTTTATTGAGAAATCTTATCAGCTTATCAGTTTATTTGCACATTTGTATTCTAACGAGCTTTTTGTGTTTTGTACTTTACAATCAATCACAGATCTGTAAAGTTATTTCAGATGTATAGCCTTGCAATATCATTTCCTTCTTTTCCATTACTTAAAAGTACAAAGTTTGATTGCTACCAATACCTAATTGCATGTTTGTACAGACGAAAAATAGGATAAAATTACTTAAAGGAGTGTTTTGGAAAATTTATTTATATGCTCTACCAGCTTACGGCTAATTTATCTTAAGGATATCATAGAAAATTGAAAAAGATCATTTTTCATGCTAAAATTTCAAGTTTCAAGCTCGTTTTAAGACCATATTGATCAGAAAATTTTCCCACCACGTGATCCTTATGATTGCCATCTAGTAGATTATTAAATGGACTACTTCGAAGTTGTTTTATGCAACCAATAATCCACATATCTCAGAGCATCTTTATTAATTTAAGGTATTATTATGAAGATGAACAAATGACCACAATTTATTGACCATTCATGCTTTCAGGACAGGGATACAGGTTCAGCCGTGAAACTAAAGCTGAAACATCGTCCCTCAGTTTACATTTCAAAGCCTTATACTTGCTGTTTATTTCTGAACTAAGCTTCTTGTTCAGAATTAGAAAGAATTAGACATTCAAATTCACTTACTTTCCTACATTTTTTTTTCATATTTCTTTACATCTGATCAATATACAATTCAGAAATCCTCTTCGAACGTTTCATACATAATCTTGTGGAATATCGAAGAATACTGATTAATCGGTTTTTTGAATTTTGTGATAGTCATGGATTGCATTTCACTGCTCAGATCCATTAATATAACATTAGGTTGTCCAGTATTTGAAGATGGATACCGGGAAATTACCATAATATCTGATATATGGACATCCATATTTTGATTTCCTCTATATAGCAGAATTTAATCAGTCTAATTTAGCATCTTTTTGATAGCAGTAAGAAATAATCACTTCAGCATTGATGCGATGATAAAAGGCAAATGGATAACAATATCTATCAAATTACGACACATCAACTTCCAATCAAATACCGGACTGTTTGATGATAAAGGTTGTTTGACTGATGGAGATTGAATAAATGGAATCGAATTTCATCGATGTTTTCGTTTTCTGAAGTTTTCAGTTTAATTTTTAAATCTCGCCTTTAGCCATAATTTGTAAACTTACTGCTTTAAGGCATTAATTGTATTTATCTAAATAAAGGATTTTAAAGACTTTACACATTTGCATAGTTGCCCAACTACTAAATTATTCTGTTCTAGGAAATTTCAGAATGTCGTGGTATTCGTTCCGAACACTATCATTGAAACTTGTTCTACAAAATCTGTAGATGTACTATTCACTTACTATTATTTGTAAATTCTTTATTTTATCAGCATTGTTACTACAATCATTTCTGTTAACCAAAGTTTTATCCCATGAACAGCTCAAGCATAAGCCAGGTAGGTTGATATCGCTCATTGCTATTTTAATCTCCATTATTAAAACAAGCGAAGGAAGTATTTTCAAATGATTCAACTACATTTTAATAATTACGGTAAAGAACATCATTTCAAAAGTAAACAAACGCTGAAACTTTCTTCTGGAGGGGGAGGATAAATACTAATCTAATTTCGTTAAGCTTGCAGATGAAGCATCGCCTCATATTCAGTGGGTTCCAATTGTACAACGAAATTTTACGGAAATGATTTACGAATACGATGATTTTGAGGTAGGCACAACAAAGGTTAATAGAACAGTTTGTGAAACGGAGACGAGCCTAACAGAATTAATCCATTTTATCTGATTTGTCAAGTTTAAATTAAAGGAACAAACAATTGCCCCTATTATCTAACTTCTCTCATCAGAGAGAACTGAAAAAATAAAGCAAATGAACTTGACCAGTTAATCACAATAAATATCAGACCATGAGTCGCCATGTAACTAGCCGTCAACATATTTATGGATTTGAGTAAGACTGACAGAAATACAATTGGTCGATAAAATGTTATATTTCATAAAATGTAAAATTAGCCCAATTCATTTTCAAACAATAGGTCCGAGAAAAGGATAGATTCGAGTTTCCCAAATATTGTTCCTAATTATGATTTTAGAAATTTTCTCATTTCCCACCAATTGGGGTGAATAAATAAGAATTAGTATAAATTCCAAGACCTGAGTTTACTATTTTCTTTTCTATAGGTGTTATATCAAAACACGAAAATGGATGTGAAAAGGGCTAATGAAAGAATATACACATTTAAGCAACAAATGCAGAAAAGAATCACCGAAAGTGATGATGGTTTTATGTATTCTTCCACTGCCACTAAATTATCATTGTTTAACGATCAGAAATATTCCCTCTTTGCCATCTGGCCATTTATTACCCCTTCTTTGCACTATTTAATGGCGCATAAAATATTTGACGGATGTGATCACGATTAAGGTGAATTAATAAATTATTTTCTATATACCTGAATGGAAGACAAGTGAGGAAATTGTAATGTATCACGGATGATAACGTTACCAAGTGACAATGTTCCTTGGTTATTCAAACTCTGCGGATACTTGCAAAAGGTTTCGATTAATTACGTGAACAATTAAAGGATTAATAATAAATCACCAGTTTATCATATTCTTCAACAGTGGCGATGTTGTTGTGAAGATCGCATTTTGTTAGAGATCTCCGCGTTGTTTTATTGGTTGGCAACGAAGGATGGTTGTGCGGAAGACTTATTGAGTTTGGTATGTTTAATCTTTTGCTAGATAATGCACAGGTTCGACAAGTAATGTAGAGGATTGACTAGTTAGAGGATCCTTGCGGAAATATTTCGGTGCTTTTGATACGTGTTGCTCTTCCAAGAGCGTAATGACAGAACTGAATTTTAGTGATTGATTCTCCTGTTTATAAGTGGGAGTGGTTTAAATATTCCCGAAAGTATATATTACCATGCATGGAAATATAAGCTTGGTTAATAAATCTTCAAATAAAGGACACTCAGTTAAATGAAATAAAAAAACAGTGGCAAATAGTTAATAAATTAAAATATTGAAAATAAATTTGACTGTCATTTTGAGAGACGAAAGTTGGACGGATAATTCATTACTTTAAGAACAAGACATTCATATTATTTATTTTCGCATAATGAATCATTTACCAAAAAAAAATTCAATTTGAAACAACTTTTGCACACCATATTCATATTGTTGTATATGTACATCAAAATATTTGCACTACAAAACGCTTTATTTTGATAAAAATATTTTGCTTTTCTACATAGACGTTGCATTAGAATTGAAATGATGCACTGGACATCGTGTGATGGACGTATGATGCAGTGCACATCGTGTAATGCACTGGACATCACACGTGTATGACGAACATTGTTAATGTTTCTTTGATAATGAGATGCCCTTCAATGAGATACCAGTGCTTGGATCGAGAGTGCATTCAGGTTGTCTTCAAAGTGTGTCTATGCTGAAAGATAGTGTTTACGATGATTTGCTACTCTGCACAAAACTCCAGCAGAAGCCGTGGGTTGTCTTTGCAGTTTCCAATGCCATGCCTGCATAACACACCTTCCAGGCTTTGGAGTTCCTTCCAACTCTAGATTATGTTGTGAAAATTTTGGTCTTCTTATTTCATAACAAATAAAACTCGACTTTATTGAAAGAAAGCTAGTTTGCCACGTTTATTTAAGAGAAACTGTTTTGTTAAGATTGGATTATCAATAGATGGGTGAAGAAGATCTGTTGATCTTTTTGATGTAACAGAATACCAGGAATACAAATAGTATTTATTAACTAAATGGAAATGAACGAAAATGAGACACAATCGTTACTTCAATTCCGATGTATAGATTGAAATGAATTATCGGAGGATAAAACAGAAAGAGAGCAAAATATAGTTGGATCGGTGGTTTAAGTGAAGTAGTAGAGATTCCTTTGCAGGGATGAATGCGTATCTAGTATTTATTAAACAGGTAGAAATTAACGTTTAGAAAAAATGTAGAAAATAGAAAGCAAGTCGAAAATTTTTCTGTTTTATCCTCCAACAATTCATTTCAATCTGTTCCTCGGGATTGAAGTAACGATTGTGTCTCATACGCGTTAATTTCTACTTGGTTAATAAATACTATCTGTATTTCAGGTATTCAGTTACATCAAAAGGATCAACAGATCTTCACCCATCCATTGATGATAATTCAATCTCTGCAAAATAGTTTCTCTCAACTAAACGTGGAAAACTAGTTATCTTTCAAAAAATGAGGAGGAAGTCGAGTTTTATTTGTTACGAAAGATAAAAACCAAATTTTTTGCAACAGATGTTAAGCTAACAGTGGGGGACGTCACAAAGAAATTTTGATGTTTTCGCGCATCTGCAGCACGACCATGCTTTGGGCCAGCTAACCTCCATGATCACTTTGATAAAGCTTTAATACCTCATATAGCGATTAAACTAATCTCTTTTTGAAGAGACAAAAAGGTGCGGGGAAGCGGGGTGATGAAGGAAATCGAAGAAAGAGAGGACAGGAGAAATTTTCATTACTCAATAAACTTTCTGGAAACTTCTTTACTGGAAATATATCCTGAAAAAGAAATTGTTTTTCCATAGCTTACACTCTTCTGAGGAGTAGGAGTTAACCTTGCTATTGCTAAAATTTGGTGCTGTGACGTTGCCGAGTGAGTTGTCGCGAATTTCGAATATTGCGAAGCTCTAAATAAAATAAAATAATAAAATAAACTAATGCACAAATCAACCGCACAAATTGTAAATAAACGTTAACAGTGTTATGAATCACTTAACTAATTTCACATTCCTCAAAATCATTTTCTCATGCCTTTTTTTTTGTTGTCTTAATCTAACTAAATTCATATCTTTTCCTTTTATGGCAAAAAAGCCAATTCACATGCAAAATTTCTTATCTGATAACAAAACTTATTACAATCCTTATATTGTAATCGGATTTTTATAGTTTTTTCTGTATCCAAAGAAACATCTTTGGGATGTTTGTTATAAACCACTCCCACCAAATATGTTTTTTGTGTTAATCAAAATTGTATATATACTCAAGACTATTACTAGAAGGACTTTGTTTGTAAACATTCAGCCAAGGATTGTACCGAACACTTTATCCTCAATTCTCCTCAATAAATATTTTTACTACTAATTCTGCATTCTTATAACCTACTTTCTGCGAATTAATAACTTCCTCCTGAACCGAACGAAGAATACCTTCTCAAAATATCCATCTGTGCCTAAGAACCAAAACCCTTCCAAATCAAATCCGGCAGAACAAAAAGTTTTATTTTATTTGCCTATATCTAGTGCCACGAGCCGGGATGTCCGCAACTACAATGCTAAGCGCGCAACCGGCAAAAGAAAAAGTTGAAGATCTTCCCCAAGAAGTCAAGGAAATAGATCTGACGCCGCTGGACTAATTTTCGATCAGAGTAGAAACTCGTCAGCAGCATGAGGCCAGAAAAAGAATTATTGAAGAAAAAATATTGCGCCTCAAGCTACCCATTGGCACACACGAAACCGTCAATACAAATTGGATCAAATGCATTCAACAGGTCCCAATAACAAAAAAACAACAGGAGGAGGAAAATTACGCCCAAATGGTCAAAGAAGGAGGAAAATTATGCCCAAATGGTCAAAGATAAAAAAGGTATTTTAAACTCAATAAATGAAGATAGAGAAATTATTATAATTTTAACTATGTTTATGAATGACTCAGAGTTAGTACTTCAACGCCTCAAACAAAGCGAAATAAAGGAGGAAACAACTCAAATAACATCCAGTTGATTTACCCCAACTAATTTACCAGTTAATTTACCCCAACTATCTTTACCTACATTCAGCGTGGAGAGGACTCGGGAGTAGTTTCGAAGCAGCAGTTCACTTACAAAACATACCAGATATCTACAAATTAAATTATTTAATGGCATGTCTCAAAGGAGACGCTTTGCTAGCCATAAAGGGTTATGACATATCCTCAGAAATTATGATTTCATACGAAAAGTCCTTATTGAGAAGTTCGAACAACCGCACATCATCAAGAAATTGCTCTACAATGAATTGCATTCTATCAAGAAGAATGACCGTGAATGGTAAGTAAAGTCGAAGCCATCGGAAGAATACTTCGACAACTTGAAATAATGGGCGAAAACCTTGAACGATCCAGTATCAAAATTGAAAATAAACTACCGTCTGAATTCTGGACAGAGTGCATCAACAAAAGGAGGAACAAGAAATATGGTCAGTCGCTAAGTTAAGACAATTTTTAGCGAAACTTATTCAAAGAAACGAAGAAGTTACAAGAAGCCAATATCTTGACATTATGAAGGAGCAAAAATTAACTAAAAATAAAATTAATCCACGAATTAATTCACGATATTTTCCAGAAGAAACTTCGGCTCTAACTATAACGACTCCGCAAACATATACAAAAGCTAATACGACGAAGGTAAGTAAAACTCAAAGACCTTGTATTTTTTGCAATAAGAACCATTGGGATAATGAACGCCAAATTTATCCTAGTCTAGGACAAAGAATGCAACGACTGAAAGAACGCCTGTCTAAATTGTCTTCAACCAGGCAGGACACGTGACAATCAATTATAAGAGAAGAAAACGTGTATGTTTCCATTGCAAAGGTCGTCATAATACCGTGTTATGCTACACTAAATATAACGATCGAGCACAATGAGACGAAATGATAGGGAAATTTTGCTTTTTTGCAAAGAGGTTGGGGTAATTAATTTAGATATGCAAGAAGCTTCAAATAAAGTCGTAGTTTTATTCGATAGTAGTGCTCAAGTAATTTGTATATCAAAGAAACTATCAAAGAGACTAAACCTAGAAGATGTTGATTACGAGCAAGTGAAGCTTGCAACATTTGGTAACAGGAGATCTCAACAATCCATTGCAGCCAAAGTACAAATTGGAATAAAAACTATTGAAGCAAAAATTATACCTATTATAGCTACAGTAGTCAATTATTTAACAAGTAAGCTAAGAGTAATATCTATAAACCAAGGCGATGTATCAGAAATTTCAACTCAATTTCATTAAAAGAAGAAAATAGCAGTTGGAAGCAACCCGACTTAATTATTGGAGTCGACCACTTCTTCAAGTTTATCCCGTTAGAAAAAACCCAAACTATAAGTTCAGGGTTTTCTTTAATCAACACAATAGTCGGCCCAATGATTGTTGGAAGCGGATATATGGACAACCATGGTAATCGCCTCAACAAGATGGTTTATGACCCACACGAAAAAACACATACTGAATGTTGTTCCGTCCAGAATGAGAAGCAAACCACTGTTACACCTAGTAATATGGGCATTCCAGAGATTGATCTATTCTGGAAGTTGGAATTCATAGGAATACAAGATCAACCTAATTTGCATGAGGACGAACAATCTTTAGAAAGAGAAAATAAGGAAATCGTTTTTCAAGAAAAATATCACCGAAAACAATGGCAGATACCAAGTGCTTAGTCGTGGAAGAAATCAAGAATCAAGTTAAACGATAATTTCAGGTTGTGTTTTGGTCGATTAAAACCTTTAATTAAACGATTTTAGAACAATGAACGCTTACTTCTTGAATACGACGAAATATAGTATAGAGGATATCATGTTAATTAAATTATCGAATTAAAATAACTAATACATTTTGATGTTGTTCATAATTATTCCTTGTTTTATTCACTAAACAAAGATGAGAAGTGATAATATCAATTACTCCAGAAAAAATTTTATTCCCATCGATTATGCCAAATCGTAATCAGAAATATTCATTGGAGTTTGTTATCTTCATCACAGCTTATCCGATAATCATTATTGCTATGTAGCCAAGAATTCGCATGACAAATCATGTTTTATTTGATTGCCAATACATCGAACATCTGTACGATATTTGTGAGTGTAGTAGATAAATAATAAACTTCAAAACTAATGTGTTATTGGTTAGAACCAAAATACCCATTAAATTTTTCGAATAAAACAACCAATAAGGATGAGAACTACCGCATAGATACTTGAGAGTTTTAATTGATTTCCGGTTGAGAATGCTATCGATGGACTGAAAAAAAAAGCACAGTTGGAATGGATAATGGAAATTGAAGTGATAATTCAATTTCGTGTTAGAAAATCAATTACATGTATCACTCCGTTATGATATTTATTGTCGAGACGACAAACACAGCACCATTTTCCACGTCATTTATTTGCAAATATTGCGTCATGACGACTTATTGCATTTGTATTATTTGCATATTTATTGAAACCTTGCAAATGCTGTCACCTCTGCAGTTCAAAGTAGTAATCGATTATCAGGGGTGCTTGTGAACCCGTCATTTTACTTAGAGTTTAACAAATTTATACATTTCCTTACTTAAAAGTATTCTAGTGATTAGTCCAATTACTCTGCTGAAACGTACACGTTTAGATGAAATGGTTGGTTAATAAATGCAAATGAATTTTGTTACAAGGATCTTGTCACAAGCGGGCCACTGTTGATATACGTTTTATCAATCAACTGAAATCTAAGAATCAGATTATTCCTGAATTCGATTGCTTCAGAAGTGATCGAATGTAACGCTTGACCGAATGGAACAAAAGCTCTTCAGAGATAAGATTTTCATTATCATATCATTCAAAGTATGCATCAAATGAAAAAACATAAGTCTGGCTGACGTCGGCATATGGTAACCGAACCAATTTGAATACTGCCAATCATTTATTTACGGAACTCGTTGCAATTTGATATCAAAGAAACCGGAAGGAATTCAAAAGACTTTTATCAATCAAAAAATTTGATACACTTTTCTTTTTCTCGCATACATAAAAATAAATCATACGAAAAAGTTCTGATTAATAATTTATGATGGCTTTATCAAATGAATTAATAACAGCTACAGAACCCCACGAAGAGACAAACCGTCAACTTTCGATCCATCTCGCATTGATTGCATATTTCTTTCCTATTTAATTACTTAAAATGCTTTTAATTACTAAAATATACAAACAGTACGCAAACGAAAGATTTTCGGTTAATTAGTCCAAATCGATAAAAAACAAATCGATAATTTCAATCAGCAATTATTTTCGTCGATGCAAGTTCCTAAGATTGCCTCCATAAGCTTCGCACGTACTAAAATATCACACTGCTAAGAAGACGTCGCCTATCTGGACATCAGGTCAATGAAATCAATAAATCCAATAAACTTAGATCAATAATAGTTTCTCGAAACTTTACCTTCCCATGTCTGTTAGAAATAGATTGAAATCATGGGTACTAGGTACCAAGTGGCTGAAAACTTCCCATTCTCAGAAAAAACTTTCTCAGAAGATAAAAGAGACGAAAATACTGAACAGCCAAAAAATTAAAATCCAATTGAACAATGAACAATTGACAATCATTGCCAATTCGGTTCTTTCCCTATAGGGCAGTAAAACTTGGACCTATAATAGTTCCTCGAAATTTTTCGTTATTCTAATAATTAAAGGAAATAGATTGAAATAGCGATGGTAAATGAAAAGGAAGATTCAGTGGATTGCATTCAAATAATGCCATTTTTGGGGAAGCGTATGATTTACAAACCTTCTACTGTATTTTGGCTTGAATTCTCAGATACCTGAAATTGGCAGCAATTGAAATGTTTGAGAATGATTGGGAATTTCTGACTTACATAAATGATTTTTGCATGATAACGATGCAATGAAGCAATTTTGGTTATAAACTAGAAATTAAAAAGACAAGAAAGTAATGCCAACAAAGGCTGGATTTTAATATTGAAATAAAATTAACAAAAGTAACAAGCGGTGGTCGCCATACTTCATCGAAGCAGTAAATGCAGATATTGTTACTCACGGAAACGATACCAGATGGGTCTAGCCACCTATACCACGTTTTTTACCATTCTTCAGTTGATAATTGAGGTACCAATGTCCTATAGGTTCGAGTGTTTGCATGTCACAATTTGCCTGAAAAGAGTATTAAAATATATGCCATACTGAGTGTTACCGTACAGATCATATTGAGTGCTATCATATAGATTTTATTGCTCTATACATAGTATGCTCTCATTGAATGTTACCGTTAGGTTTATTATTAAATTTCTTTAATTATGATTGAATCGTGGAAAGCGCTCCTTAACGGTATTATTTGGTATCATTAGAGATTACTGACACATAAGAACATTCTAAACAGTTATTATTTCCATTGATTGATTTTTCAAATTAGATGAGCCGAAGAATCTTGCAATCTTTTGTTGCTCCTTCAGACTTCTGATGTCTTCCAAATATT